CTGAACTCTTCACCACTTTCTCTGATGCTGATCATGGTGGTGATAAGGACTCTGGTCGTTCTACTGGTGCCTATATTGTCAAGATGGGATCTGGTGCTGTCTCCTGGAGCTCCAAGCTTCAGAACATTGTTGCTCTGTCCACCACTGAAGCAGAATACATTGCTGCTGTTGAGGCTGGCAAAGAGATTTGCTGGATGCGAAATTTGTTGAAGGAAATGGGCTATCCTATCACCTCTCCTTCCACCCTTCATATTGACAACCAATCTGCCATCTCTGTATCCAAAAACCCTGAGCACCATGGTCGGATGAAACACCTTGATCTGCGATGGCATTGGTTGAGAGATGTTGTTGACTCTGGGCAGATTGCTCCTACCTTTGTTCCCACTGCTGAAATGCCTGCAGAATTGTTGACCAAGGCTCTTGCCAAGCCTAAAGTGGAAGTGTTCAGGAAGATGATGGGACTTATTAGATCAGGGGGGAGCTGATGCTTGGGAGGTGCAGCATCAGGGGGGAGTGTTAGTTTTGGTGATTCTGCACCTTTGTGCTACCTCTATATTTTCATTCCTTTCTCTATCTATTCTTCTATCATTCACTATTGATTGTGTTCTCTATTATTTCGCCTTTGTGGCTGCTTTGTTTACCTTTGTTTACAAAACTTCGGACAGTACTGCAGAGTCCAATGCTTCCTATTCTCTAGTTACTCACATTGGACTCTAGGTACTGTATACCTGTCATACTCTTTAATAATAAAGTTACTCACATTGGACTCTAGTTCCAGTCCCTGATTGCTCTCAGCAAGTGGCTAGACACTTCCTTCAAGCTTTGTTCATAACACCATGTATCCATACACTCCTTGGAGACAAGGTCATAGATGACAAATGGGGCCACCTGAACTATGGCACAAAAATCCCGCCCTGTAAGTGAACCAGAATACTGTCCCAAAGTTTTTCCAGCAAGTGGTGAGATGCCAAGGCCATTGACATTAAGAGATAACAGTCTGGTGGCAAGGAGGTTGAGCTTGTCTAGTTTACCCTTAAGCTGAAGCTGTATTAAGTCTCGCCACAAGTATTTAACAAAGCCGAGTAACACAACATGTAGTATTTTGACAGGCGTGTCTTGATGTGGGTCAAGTCCTGTGAAGCATAAGGTTTTGAGTAAATTGACAAAAATACCACAAATGAAATTACCTTTGATTCTCCACACAGGACTGATGATTGTGTTGGGAAGAGATGCTATTGACTCATCTAATGCAGCTTATTTGCTTGCCACACCTCTCAAACGCTGGTATAAACCAACAACCTTATCTATAAAATACTTCTGAAAGGTGTCTTTGATACCAGATTCTGTGCGCATCTTGTCAACTTTTGTCTTTGAATCAAGCTGGGATGCTTGAACAAATTGGGCATGCAACTGAGTGATTGTTTCTTGCTTTTTTTGAGGTTTACCAACCTAGATAGAATTTGACAGATCAGCTATGGGTAGTTGCATAATAATAAAAGAGCATACTTTGACAAAATCTTGAACACTACTAAGCATGTTAGCCATGGTCTCCAGCCCTTGTCTGCGCTTGCATTTTATTGTATTTGAATGTACACTTTCAGTTTCACTAGCTGGATTGGATGTTCCTTCATTTGCACTGTTGTTGCTGGCCATTTGGCTGTCTGCATCACTTTTGGCTCCATTGCTTTCTTGGTGGACACGCTGGCCTGCTGACTCAAGGATGTTGGTACCAGCATCAATTCCTTTGACCCAGCATGCACGACAAAAAAGTTTTCCATGCAGTCCTATGTGGCAAGCAAATTCACTCTGCATAGGATTGTCTCCCAACAGAGCAAGTACGAAGGGTAGAAGAAGGACTGGCTCATTTGTTTGAGAGTCCCATGACCAAACACCACTTTTTTGTGCATTGCTAGAAAGTTGATACTGTTAGTCCAGGTATTTTAAAGTAAAAAAAAGTTGACATGCTTGAGCTGGCCAACAATACCATCCAGCATCTCCAGTGGAGGTGCTAAGTTGGATGTACACAAAAGTGTACATTGTATTCTTGTTGGGCCTCGGATTGTGGAAGACCTGCAGGAATAAACAGAAAACTGTTATGTTCATTCCATTTCTTGGACATATTACCGGACGTGTCATCACAGTACATCCATATTGGAAAACTGAGCACTTTGTGCCCTTTCAACAGTGCACGCCATTGATTCCCAACATTGAGATCTGTAAATGCCCACTTGGAAGTTGAGGATGTCTTGGAGTCTACAATGGCTGAAAAATAAAATAATTAATATGTTGTTGGGGAAACAATCTCGTTTTTTAATGTATCAGAGAGAAGCCTGGGGTCAGGAAGATCATATCGCTTCACATTCTGACAAAGCTGCGGGAAATTCATGAGGAACTCATTCTGCGAAACCACATAATCATCACATTTGATGACCTTCCAACTACGCTGGTGGTCTGTGTCTACAGGTTCCATGGCCCAGCACCGGGCAAACATTATTGGATGGTCATTCTGAGTACGATAAAACCAGCGGAAGGGGATACATACACAGCCATCCGAGAGCATTGCAGGTTTGTGTATGTAATAATTGTGGCTGTTGAGCCGTGCCATAGGTGTGAGCTGCTCATCTGGAACTTCACGCAGCCAGCGCAAACCCTGTCAAGCCTCTGAGAGCCATAATGCACTGCCTTCGGGGTAGAAGTGTAAGTGGGGCCTAACCTTGGGGTTTGACATCTCCTGTTAAAAGGATAGGAATGTCGTGTCATGCTCAAAAAGATGAGGTTAGAATTACCCAAGATATAATATGAGCAAGGTTGTTTACATGGTAATGATGCCCCAGCACTCCTTTGTAAGCAATAGTCCCAATGCCACAGCACTTCTGCAAAGCGGAATTAAGACTTTGCATGGCCTTGACTGATGGGGCATCATCCACATCATTGACTTTGAGCAGCCAGAGAAACAGATCAAGTTGTTTCTGCGAGAAAACTGAGCGGGGTAAATGCATTAATATATCCAGGGTACATCTCTGTATAAGTGATATAATGTAGATGGTACGCTAGAAGAACATATTGGGGGAGCAGACTACTTACAACCTTGTCTTGCCAAGGGAACCACCGCCGTGAGGTTGCTGTATGGTCTGCAGTACGAGCACGTTTGCGTCCATGACTGGCTGTTTCAATACCATTGTTGACTGGAAAGCATCACAGTTATAACTAATGAAAAAAAAAGCATAAGGCTTACCAATCACAGTGACCTCCGGTAAATCATCGTTGCTGGGAGCATCCGACCATTCAAGGTCTTCGTTTGAGGAATCCAAGAGTGCATTGAAGTGGTCAAGAGCAGCCAGCGCTATTGAGGCAACTGCTTCCTGCTCAGGTGGCAGATCAAGAACAACATGTGAGGGGTTGTCGAGTAGACCCCAGTCAAAGTTGATGATGTCGGGGGAAGATGGCAAGGGATTGGCAGGTGGCTGAGACTGTAGGCTGGAATGATTGTCACCTGTTAAAGATGTAAGCAAAGTACAAATGCTATTATTGACTAATGTAAATGCTTGGGAGACTGAGGCTTCAGGAGCCAGAGGTGGTGATCCAGGAGGTTGATCTTGATCTTGATCAAGCTCGTATTGGCAAGCATACTCGGCTTGGGCCTGGTGCAAAAGAGACTGTACATGGCGGGGTAGGTGCTATGGATAGCGCAAGCGCCCATCGCGACACAAACAGCACCTATATCGTGGCTGGCCTTCTGAATTGTGTACGAGCTCCCATAATGCTTACAGTGCGAGAATAATATGTCTCAGCCTTAGTATTTTACAGTGAACTCAAGCCAGCACTTACTTTCGTCAATTAATATAGGCATCTTGGAAAAGATGGGGGAGAGATTAAGCACTGGTATTGATCTAGGAGTGCTATGGTACGAATACAAAAACAGAGTAACAACGGCAAAGCATATCACGATCTAACTGGTCATAATAAGCTTTGATAGCGGGGTTGGAGATCATTTGAAGATTATCTTGAGCTGGGGTCTGGGTATGGTTGCAAATTGAGAAATCAGGTGCTCGGTTGGAGTCTGGATCAGAATCCATGGTTATATTTGAAAAAAAAGCTAGACCTAATGAACACATGGTGCTGAGTCTGGGCTGCCACATGTACGGGGGCTACTCGGAGAAACTTGTGCGGAGTGGCTACAAATCTCTGGCCATGTAGGCAATGAATGGTTTTTGTGGAGACTTGGAGCAGTATCAAAGTGCACAAAGACATCACTCATAGTCAGAATGGGTGAGCCCCATCAGAGTCAAGTATAGTGTTGATCTATTGCTAAGCAGAAAGACAAGTGTCAGTACCAGTCATACCATGGCTGTGGTGTTGATTATTCTGATAGGCATCCATTACTTCTGCTTTGCCTGTGATGTAGTGGCCATGTTCAGTCAGGAGACAATCTAAATAATCATTCACTCTGCAATCAACAGTCAAGAAGCCAAAGATGAAAGACCCAATAAGTCTGAGTGAAAACTCAGCCACTGCCCGAGAGGCTATAGAAACGACTGAGGTATTCCTATACTAAACCCCTACTACTTATAGTCGGAGGTGCTACTCGCTACAGTATAATGACTCCTAGGAGAACAATGGTGACTCCATGGAGTGGTGGCTATGCTCCATAGAGAGCAATGGCTGCTTTAGCAGAGACCAGGTTTATCCAGTTTTGTCACTCCCACTTGAGTGCAACCATAGTCCCATAGCTTTAGAGAATTTCCAGTGTTTTTCGTGAGTGAGGGGTTTAGTGAGAATGTCGGCAACCATATCTCCTGTAGGAACATATCTGATTACTGCCTCTCCCTTTGATACTAAGTCATCTCGGATAAAATGATATTTCCGTTGAATATGTTTTGTGCAAGCACGGAACTGCGGATCTCATGTAAGAATGATAGCTGCTTGATTGTCACAGTGCAACATTGTAGGTCCATTTTGAGCATGTCCAATTTCTTCAAAAAATGACCAAAGCCATGCAAGGTGTTGTCCAGCATTGCTCAATCCAATGTACTCTGACTCCGTGGAGGATAAAGCTACCATGCTTTGTCTTTTGCTTGTCCAGGAGATTGCTCCTTGGATGGTGATAAAAACAAAGCCTGATGTTGATCAAGACATATCTGGGTCTCCAGACCAATCTGCATCTGAATATCCATAGAAATCCATGTCCATGGAGACATCTGTGCCATCATAATGTAGTTTCATGTCCCTGGTTGCTTTCAGATATTACTCTTTCCCAGAGTTTGTGTGTTGCGTTGAAATGCAAATACTTACTGACATAATTTAGGGGGGTACCCATATTAGAATATAGCATGTTACAATATTTTTTGGGCTATAACTTTCAGACTTCACAATCTATATATACAGGATATGGAGAAAATGTTGTGGATAAAAATTTGATAATGTAGTGATATAATTTAATGAAAATAATAAAATATAATATGTTTATAGGTGATTTTTATTTATTACCTACCAACATCAAGGCAATAATGGTTTTCCAAATTATATAAACAAATTTAAAAGCAGTAAATAGTATGAGGAATTAAAATTTTCATCTTATTTTCATTCCTTTGCTGCTATAACTTGGCTCTTAGACCTATTTCTGATTACTCCTCTTACTCTTGGACTAGAAGTCACTATTGGTGCTTTTCTTTTGATTTCTCTTTTCTTTTATCCCACTACCACTTACTATCCTACTTATGGAGGCAACTGAATCCCTTGACTCCCCTAGAGGTAATTTACTTAGGGGAGGCATCTCATTAACCAGCTTTATAAGAGATTATCCTCTTGAGAGATTAATACAATGATAAGGCTTAGTATAGTACCTTACTATTGGGTTGCTATATGAGTTAGTCAGACATCCCACAACTACCCTTCTCTCTCACAGGATGATCAATACAATAGTGGCATCACTTTTATTCTCTTTTCCTATTGGTTGATTTTAGGATTAGTCCACTTCTCTATCATTCTCCATTTTTGGTCCAATCCCCTTATTTCCCTATATAAGGATTTAGATATCTCTTATATATGCTTTAGTTCCTACTTGAGATTTGCACCTACCTTGATACTCTTCGCCTATCAATACTTATCTCATTGACCATCAAATCCTTGTCCAGCATTATTGGTGTTGTGTTATATAGCTTCTTGTTTATTGCCTCACAGATGGTCCCCTAGGAAGCAAATAAAACAAATAGTAACAGCAGACAACAAGAGAAAATGTATAGTGGGACACTGTTTCTATGGCAGAAATATCTAAGTTCAAGATTCATGAATTGCTATCCACTTAAATATGATTATTTTGCTACACAAACTCTACCACCTTATAATTGTCTTTGGTTTCTTATCCATCTCTAAAAATAACTATTTTTACATACAAAAAGCCAAGGCTAATTTCCAATTAAGGCAAAATTCTTCTCAGTCAAGAAGGGGGTTAATTAGAAGGACACTGAATATGACTATATCTATCAAAGCACCTTATAATAATCTTTGTAATACTCTTGTGTGATTTTGTAGAACTGAATATTGTTACCTGTAACTGTGCTTTGCCAGTCCTGAAATCTGGTCAATCCATCAGTGGATACAGTTATGATCTTGATAATTTAGATAAATTATGAGTTAATAATGGTTAGCATTAGGTGTTTGAATCCTTGATTTGGTGCTGGCAGGAAATTATTTATGTCTTAGTGAATACCACTATATAATTAATTCCATCAAGTAAAGTTTAGTGCATAAATAGATAAATATTGTCAAGAGAAATTGTAGTGTTATCAAGGGGTAATTCTGATACAGAAACAAAATTCCATACAGGATGATGAAAGTGTTAGGTGCAGCATTATGTGAACCTAAGGAATATAGATATGCCACCAAGATCAAGGGAAGCCAATCTCCCCAATCTTTGATTTATTCTAATATATATTATTGAATGAAGCATCACTATTCCTTAGGTCTTGTCCCATTAGGTCTCTTCCCCTAGGTCTTTCCCACTAGACCTTGTTCCACTAGGTCTTGGTCTTATCCCACTAGGTCTTGTCCCACTAGGTCTCTTCCCACTAGGTTATATCTCACAAGGTCTTTTCCCACTAGATTTTGTCCTGCCAGGTTTCACAGCAAGCATAACCAACTTTTGTCACACCCAAAATCAATGAAAAAGTCTGAAAGTAGTTAAAATATTTAATTGCATTTTGGACCTATAAAACTTTATCAGAATAATGTATTTTTGTTAACATATTTCTACATATCCACACAAAAATATAGTATTAATGGAAATATATTAACCAAAAGACATCATTTTGTAGGTCCAAAATGCAATCAAATATTTTAACTACTTTCAGACTTTTTCATCAATTATGAGTGTGACAAAAGTTGGTTATGCTTGCTGTGTTTTAGTCTTATCCCACTAGGTCATGTCCCACTAGTCCACATTGCACAAGGTCTTGTCCTGCTAGGTCTTGTCCCAGGTCTTTTTCCACAAGGTCTTGGTCTTATCCCACTAGGTTATGTCCCACTAGGCCTTGCCTCACTGGGCCATGTTTTTATCCCACTGTATCTTATCTTGTGTCCCTCAGACATACTATATGGATTACTATTTACAGTATTATATCCACCTTGATGCATACAGTGGAGACTTATATATACTTACCACAACCTTAACATAATAGCCCAATTCATTGAAAATTCCCTGGAAGCTAGTAATTCCAGTATGGCCAGAGACTATCATGAGTACTATAAGACCCACCCACATTCTGGACACTACACTTGGTTAAGCCTGAGAAGAATTTCTTAAGCTAGCAATCATACTGTTGTTTATTCAGCTGGTATTGGTACTGTGGTGTTTAACCCTGTTATTAATGGCAAAGAATCAAGGGCTGTAGAATTCTTCAGAGTGCTGCATGTACCAGATCTTCGAAATAATCTCCTCTCAGTCTTGTACTTAACTCGTCAAAGTGGTTTTAAAGTTATCACTTCATCTCAATCTATGTCCTTCATACCGGGCAACACTCTCTTATTCACTGCAACCATTTAACAATAATGCTGCATTCCTTGATGGATCCACTGTTTCTTGTGTTGAATTGGGACACTTTTCTGCAACAATTCCACTTGATTTAAACCTTTGGCATCGAAGATTGGCTCACCACCACTATGCTGATGTCAAGAAATTGACACAAGAAGACCTTGTTACTGAAATGACACTTGAGTCTAAATCTACTCCTGATCCTATCTGTGAACCATGTCTGTCTGGAAAAATGTCTGCCAACCCATTCCCTTCATCTTCTCATCACTCTGCTCACCCTCTAGACCTCATCCACTCTGATGTACACCAAGTCTCCTCCCCTTCATTCTCTGGGTATCAATATTGGGTCACCTTCATCGATGATTACACTCGATTTTGTGTTGTTGTCCCTTTGAAGGCCAAGTCAGATGTCTTTAATGCTTTCAAGAGTTTCAAGGCTTATGCTGAGACTCAATTAGAGCAAAAAATCAAGGCTCTGCGTGATGACAAAGGGGGAGAGTACATCTCCAAGGAGTTTGAGCAATTCACAGATGATCATGGCATTGTCAGACAGCATACCACCCGGAATAGGCCTCAGCAGAATGGAGTTGCAGAACGAGCAAACAGGCTTCTCTCTGAAAGAATCACTACCATGCTTTCAGAGTCTGGATTGCCTAATATCTTCTGGGGTGAATGCCTAGGTGCCTTGGTGCATGTCTGGAATAGGTGTCCCACTGATGCAGTGGTCAATGCTACTCCTTATCAATTGTGGCATGGACATAAACCAGACATGTCACACCTTTGTGTGTGGGGGTGCACTGCTTATGTGCATGTGCAAAAGG